GCATGGTCAAAGCAATGGTATTCCTAGTAGTCATGTATGGCTGCGAGAGTTGGACTATAAGGAAGGCCGAGCGCCGAAGAATAGATTCTTTTGAACTATGGTGCTGGAGAAGACTCTTGAGAGTCCCTTGGACTGCAAGAAGATCAAATCAGTCAATCCTCAAAGAAATCAACCCTGACTGTTCCCTGGAAGGCCAGATAATGAAACTGAAGCTCAAATACTTTGGCCACCAAATGAGAAGGGAGCACTCACTGGAGAAGACCATGATGCTGGGAAAGATTGAAGGTCAAAGAAGACGAGGACAGCAAAGGATGAGATGGTTAGACAGTGTCATAGATGCAACGAACATGAAATTGAGCAAACTTCAGAGGACGGCAGAAAACAGGAGGGCCTGGCTAGATATTCTCCATGGGGTCGCGAAGAGTCGGACTCGACTGTGCGACTGAACAACAAAAAGATTTTTTTTGTATTTGTTGGACGTAAACTGACAGGAGAGGAGACAGAGGCTGCACTTCACTTTCTGCATGAGGGGTCATGTCTTTCTTTGCTAAGTAGATGTGACACTTCATGCACCTGACGAAGTGGGCTGGTTTCACACCAAGCCATGGTTTTTGGGCAAATCAGATGTTAGCTGACACTTAGCTGGATGCTCGAAGACTCACATTCTGTGCTACTGTGATGTCAGACTTCAGTCGTCTTGATGCAGTGGGCGGTGTTACACCGTGATGAGTTTTGGGCAAATTATTTAGAGTGGGGGAGGGGTCCCAAATCTTTTTTAGCCTCTGGCCACCTTTGGATTTCCAAAGCAGGCTAGGCTAGTAGTCAATAGCCATCTCTCTTCTGGGCATGGAGCGGGGGTCACTGCTGGGGTGTGGAGGGGGAGGTGTTTGTGAATTTTTCTGCCTTGTGGGGGGTGGACTAGATGACCCGGAGGTACATTCCAACTCTGTGGTTCCATGACTCTGGCCGTAGAGATGCCAGGGGAGAGACTCATTGTTGCGAGGGCTGGTTGCACAGGTTGTGGGGGCCAACGTGCACTGGTTCTGCTGCTGTCCCCTGAACAGGGGACCGAGTCCGACTGACTCCCAAATCTTTTTCAGCCTCTGGGCACCTTTGGATTTCCAAACCAGGCTAGGCAACTAGTAGCCGCCTTCTGGGCATGGAGGAGGGGCCTCTATGGGTGTGGGGGAGAGGTAGTTGTGTGAATTTCCTGCATTGTAGGGAACAGGGACCCACCCTCAGCCCTGGGAGACCAAACAGCCAGCCGTTCTGTGGCTCGGGATGTTTTCGTCTGCCCTGGGCCCTGTCTGGTGGGGGTGGGGCTACTTTCCTTCCTTAGTTGCTGCCGTTACTCACTGGATTCACACCACCTTCCTAGAGGTACTGTGAGACCCCTCTGGATGATTCCACAACCTGGGAAAGTGGGTATCTCAATCTTTGGGCGCCCCTGGAGATTTGGCAACCACTTTGATTTGGGCCTATTTGGGTTCCGCTGGCCTCCCTTTGCCTCTCTTAATGTGCTGAGTGGGGAATCGTACACTCCTAGCTGATTGTTCACTTGCACAGGTCCTGCCTGCCCCCCTTCACTTTATATACTGCAGAAATCCTCTGGTTTGACCTGAGTCCAGTTGGGTTTGGGCAGTGACTGGCACAGAGGTTGTTGGGGGGGGGGGGAGATTGCTCTGGTTCTTCTGCTGCTAGTGGGCATGGCTGGCAATGCAAACATGCTCCCTAGGCCGCTGCTGCTGCAGAGGGAAAGATCATCTGGTTCTGTTGGTTTTGGGGTTTTGGGGGCACTGCCTGGCACATTGGCACAGGTTGTTCGGGGGGGGAGATTGCTCTGGTTCTGCTGCTGGGCATGGCTGCCAATGCAAACATGCTCCCTATGTAAGCTGCTGCTGCTGCAGAGGGAGAGATTGTCTTAGTTTGAACCAAGTTCTGTTGGTTTTGGGCACTGACTGGCAGATGGCACCTTGGCACAGGTTGTGGGGGGCAGATTGCTCGGGGCTGCTGCTGGGCCTGGCTGGCATTGGCAATGCACAAACATGCTCCCTCAGTCTATGCTGCTGCTGCTGCAGAGATTCTATGGTTTGAACCAAGTTCTGTTGGTTTCGGGGTTTTGGGCACCTTGGCACAGGTTGTGGGGGGGGCGATCGGTATGGTTCTGCTGCAGTGTTGGCTGGGCCTGGCTGGCAATGCAAACATGCTCCCCCAACAGGTTGCCCCTATCCCTCCATTGTTCTCTCTATGGAAGGATAGGGGCAACCTGTTCGGGGGCCCGTAGAATTGGACCCCCTGGTGGGTATCTTGGGGAGAGGTTCCAGCAGCCACCCTCCGAGTTTGGAGCCTCTCCCTCAAACCCCCTCCTAGAGATGTGCAAAAGAAAACAAAGGTAAAATTCGGATTCGGATTTATTGGACCCGAATTTTTTCGGGATTCCCGGAAAAATCTGAACATCTATACCGGTAAAGCCCCATATTGTGCCAAATGGCCCATAGGATATAATGGGGCCGAATTGCCATCGAATTTCGGCGGCAAACCAGCAACAGGCAGGCAAGGCAGCAAGCTGATCTGGGGGCACCCTCTTTGGATGCCCTTGGAATTGGACCCCCTGGACCAATCTTGTCAAAACGTTGGGGGTCATTTGGGGAGAGGCTGGAGCAGCCAAGGTCCAAATCTGGAGCCTCTATCTCAAACCCCCTCCCCCCAGCCCCCTGCAAACTTTCCAGAGAATTATTGCCATTGACTTCAATGGCCCCATTGGATACAATGGACTTGCATTTTTTGGGTTTCCTGAAAATGTTCAGATATCTATGCTTTACCGATATAGATATTCAGTTTTTTTTTCAGGTTTCCTGGAAAAAATCAGGTCCAATAAACCCGAATCCGAATTTTACCGATTTTTTTTTTTCACACCCCTACCCACAAGTGTGGAACAACCTCCCCAGAGAGCTATGTAGGAAGACGGTGGCTAATAAATATTTTAAGTAAATAAACACTATTGTCGCCTCTGGATCTTCTCCAATGCTCCCAAGGAAAGTTGGGGGGAAATAGTGTGTGTTATTTATACCTGTATTTTAAATTGTTCTAGGGTGCTCTATGAACCAATCTTAGGCTGACCACAAGAGTGGGAGAGAAATATAACAAACCAGCTAACAGTAATTACTTACTTCCAAAGAACATGAAGAGGCAAAACATGACAGGATAGAAGTAACCAAAACAGACAACCAGGATGTATTCATGTACAGCAGCAGAAACTGCAAAGACGGACAGCATTGCAGCAGATCTGAACTTCTTCCCAAAGAACTGGGGGGTGATATGAGAGTAGAGACAAAAAAATCCATCATAGATGCAATTTTAAAAAATGTTCTGTAAAGTGAATGGCAACTACCATTTAGGGCATGCTGATAAGATTACTCACAGTCTCACATTGCTGGAAAGTCTCTTGATGAAATTGTTAAATGAATAATCCTGTTTTATTACACTTCAGTTCATTAGCAGAAAGAAAAACAGGTTGCTTACCTGTAACTGGTGATCTTTGAGTGGTCATCTGTGCATTCACACCCATGAGATACAGTGTGCCTGCGCTGGATCGATCGGCATTGTAGCAAGCGCCTTAACAGATTTTCGCACCAAGACCTCGGGCATGCGCAGGAACCCCACCACGCATGCCCAGAGGGGAAGGCGCGGACATCCCGCCAGTTCCTTCAAACTGCTGCAAATCAATCCCTATGAAAAATGTAGAAGCTGACAGCAGCGGGGAAGGAGGGCGGGTGGTGTGAATGCACAGATGACCACTCGAAGATCACCAGTTACAGGTAAGCAACCTGTTTGTCTTTGACGTGGTCTCTGTGCTTCACACCCATGGGAGATTAGCGAGCAGTGGCCTACCTGGAGGAGGGTGCTGGCAGGTCCTTATTGCGAAGCAGAAGATAGGCTGTGACATCCCATGTTGGTATGAGAGTTCTTACAGATGTCTAGAGCGTAGCCCACGTAGCGGCTCTGCAGATGTCCGTTAGGGAAACTCCCTGCAGGAAGGCAGTCGAGGCTGCAGCAGCTCTGGTTGAATGAGCCCTGATAGGGCCAAGGCAATGGCTGTTTGGCAATAAGGTAGCAGAGGTGGATGAGACTTACAATCCACCACGACAAACGCTGAGCCGTGATGCGAGTTCCCAGCCTTGTTGGGGCATAGGAAACGAACAGTTGACAGTCATGTCTCGTTGGGTGGGTTCTGTTTAGGAAGAACAGAAGTGCACGTTTCGTGTCCAAAGTGTGTAGCAGCCTCTCCTCTGGGGATGCCGGAGCAGGGAAGAAATCCGGGAGGAAGACCTCTGCCTGTAGGTGGAATTCTGACACTACCTTTGGCAAGAATGAGAAGTCAGGTACAAGGCGGCCGCCGCCTGGCAAAAATGACAGGTAAGGAGGATCAGACATGGCCAATATTTCCCCAACTCGCCTTGCTGAGGTGACAGCCACAAGGAAGGCTGTTTTCCAGGATAGGAACTTCATGTCGCCAGTTGCAAGCAGCTCAAAGGGTTTCCTGGTGAGTTGACGAAGGACCAGGGGAAGGTCCCAGGGGACGACAGAACTTTTGATGGGAGGGTAAAGGTGTAACAGTCCCTTCAAAAAACATTTAGAAAGAGGATGCGAGAACAGTGTGCATCCCTCAACTTGAACATGGTAGGCCAAAAGTGCGGCCAAATAAACCTTTAACAAGGAATGTGACAGTCCCGAGTCAGCGAGAGACAGGAGGAATTGGAAAACCTTCTCGAGACTTGCGGAGGCGGCTCGAGGGGCATCCTCACCCAAGGAGGAACAAAACTTTCGCCACTTGTAACTATAAGATTTTCTTGTAGTGGACTTTCTCGAGTTTAGCAATACATTAGCTATACGGGAGGAAAAGCTGTTGAAGCCACATTCATGGCACGCCGTGGTATAGGAGAGGGGACTCGGTTAGGAACAGAAGGTCTTGTACGGGAGGAAATTGGTGGTAGACCCCTGCTGACAGATCAAGGATGGTTGAGAACCATGGTTGCCTCGGCCACCACGGGGATATGAGAATGCAGTCCGCTCTGTTGCTGATGATTTTGCGGACCACTCTCAGAAATAGAGGCAGCGGGGGGAGGGGAATTCTCTGGACCACAGGAAGAGGAGACCGCCCCCTAAGGACTGCGGGTTCCTGCCACCTCGGCTGCAGAACAGAGGACACTTTTTGTTCGCCCTGGTGGTGAAAACATCTATCTGGGGGAACCCCACTTGCGGAAGAGTGGAAGAAGGTAAGTCGGATTCTTTTCCCACTCGTGCAAATTGAGTCCTGCCTGACTCAGGTGGTCTGCGTGCACGTTCAAGTGTCCTGGGGTGTGCATGGCGACTAGGAAAATGTTGTGGGCGATTAAGAAGTCCCACAACCAAAGGCGAGCTCGCAGAGGCGTTGGGAGACAGTCCCCCCTTGCCTGTTGACATAACTGAGGGCAGTAGTGTTGTCCGTGAGGACCGTGACACACTTCCCCTGTATCAGGGGCAGGAAACTGGTGATAGCGAACCGTATCGCAAGCAGTTCCAGGAAATTGATGTGCCGGTTCCGTTTCTGTGTGTCCCATCTGCCTCCAACACAAAGTCCCATCATGTGGGCGCCACAGACCGAGAGAGAGGCATCCGTAGTTAGGGTAATTTTGGGTGATGGAGAATGGAAGGGTGCTCCCTGGAAAAGGTTGGGATGGGTGGTCCACCAAAGCAAAGAGTCCCGTACTTTGACCGGTGGGCATAGGTGGGTTGAGTGTGTGTCTCGCTCTGGATTGAAATTGTGGATAAACCAGAGTTGTAGGTGGCACATTCTCAATTTGGCAAAGACCAGGACTGACGTAGTAGCTGCCATGAGGCAAAGCAGCCTCTGTATTTGGAATGCTGTCACTGAGGGCCGAGTATGCATCACGGTGGCTAGATTGACGATGTTGGCGGCCCTGTCCTGTGGTAGGTAGGCTCTGCAATTTGTGGAGTCCAGTAGCACACCGATGTAGTGTATTCTTTGGACCGGTCGAAGTTGAGACTTCTCGAGATTTACTTGCAGGCCCAGGTTTCCCAGGAGGGTTAGCATCTCGTTGATGTTTGATACTAGGGCGTCCGTGGAAGTCGCAACCGACGGTGGTGGTCACGGCTTTCCTTCGTCTCAAGGGCATCTCCATCTACCAGCTGGCTCCGCGGTGACGGTCGGGGAAGAAGGTGAGCCTCAGTTCCTCGGGCGTCCACTTGGAAGAGGCTCTCCTCAGCTCCCCAGGCTGGGGGTCTCCTACAGAGATCCCGGGGGGTCCGAGACGAACTCAAACCCCTCCCGTCAGCCGGGTCTCGGCGCGTCTCCGAGCGAGACGCATCCAAGCTTAAACCGGAAAACCCTCTAACACCACATTTCAAATGAATCAATGTTCTTCCTGTCATCTTTCTTCATTGTCTAAGTCACTCCAGTCTAAAACCATCGGTTGTACTACTGGTTTTTTAGCCCAGTCTCAAAATACACCTTGTAACACTAGTCTACCTTTAAAATGCAGATAAGAAGTTTGAGAAATGCTAGGAAAGAGCGACAAGTCATCATTCTCTGCCTCAGATGTAAAATAATAGAGCTTTCAAACTCAAAAAAATAACATTGGGTCTGCTTACCATTCAGCTCAAAGATGGCACCTAACAAGACAGCCAGACAGAGACTTGCTCATTTCCCATAATAATACTTTTGCCAGATAATTCAAAAGAGGAGCTCTTGTTACTCTGCTGAGTCATGTTAGAGACTAATTCATCACTGCACAAGTTTTCATAGCCATGCATTGCCTCAGGTGTGCTGTGGCTCAGTGGTAAAGTATCTGCATGGCATGCTGAAAGTCCCAGGTTCAATCTCCAGTTAAAAGCACTAGGTAGTAGGTAATGTGAAAGACCTCTGCCTGAGGCCCTGGAGAGCCACTGTTGCCAGTCAAAGTAGACAGTACTGATTTTGAAACACCAAAGTTCTGGTTTAGTACAAGCCAGCATCATGCATACACAAAAACAAGCCAACTTCACTGTTCATGCAAAATGTAGGGTTCTCTTGCTACCTTTCTCACTATATAGGAGACTGCTGTAAACCCCCCCCCCTTTTTTTCACTTCTCTGAAGCAACATTTTCCATTAGATTCAAAGGTGCTCACCCAAAGGAAGTCTTGGTATATGTAGTAATACAGCCAGTCATGTACTACCACATTCCAGGTTCGGTAGTAGTTTGCAAAAGATGTAGAATTCCACCAGTCCTGAAGGGAGGGAAACAAAAAAACAGTATAGTCGGTCTTCAAAAAAAAGGAGTCATAATGCTAAGAACCCTCCTGTGACTCCAAATACTGCCTCCAAAACTGCATGTGGGTCTGTCAACTCTATGCTGCATCTTCTAAATTCAGAACCAGGTAGAAACTCATTTTTCTTCTGCCAGCAAGTAACTCTAAGATAAAATCACCTTAGTCCTAAGAATGTGGGCCTAGTTTTCTCTCTCTGCCTGTCTGTCTGTCTGTAAAGTACTGTCAA